TCTCTACTCTCTCTCTCTCTCTCTCTCTCTCTCTCTCTCTCTCTCTCTCTCTCTCTCTCTCTCTCTCTCTCTCTCTCTCTCTCTCTCTCTCTCTCTCTCTCTACTTATGCAATTCAGGTAGAATCGATACAGAATATCGATTTTCGCGGAGAGCAACCTACTCTTGTGAGTGCTAGCTGCCTTATTAGCATTATCCTGAGTTATTTAAAAAAAGTGATGTATGATGTCCATATATTATTTTTCTATCTCTGGGTAATCTAAAAAAAAAAGATTATTCATCGTATACAATCAATTATTAAGCACCAGTCATGCGCAATTTTATTTATCAATCTCGTTTGAGAACGAAAATTCGCTTTGAAGTTCATATTCTCGTCAACTTTCATATTCTCCTACAGGCTTAAAAATATGCTGCTAACATATCTGTCGAGTCAAGCACGTAACGCTTGTTCACAATAGTCAAAGAGAACCATTGAGAATCGATCCCGCACTTCGCAACACATTGTCAAAATTCTGTTTTATGTCACGACGAAAAGAAATTTGTGACGCATAGAAATAAATATGATTTTCCAATAAAGTTTCAGTTGTAAAATTTACTTTTTGCTGCAAGAAATTAAGCCGGTACTTTCGGCACAAATTTAAACTTTGTAGAACAATAAAAATATATATACCACCGGTTGTTTCAATATTAAAAGAAAGATGAAAACATGAAAACACACAAAAAACTTTTTCATTATGCATCGCACTAACAGATCTCGAGACAATATCGAATTAAGCTGCGACGTCATCTGGCACGACTATCAAAACGAACGTTGCACAGTCATTCGCCAAGTTTTCTGCGAATTGCTCATCCGAGAACTTGGTAAAACTGAACTAAAAAATATAGTTGTTTCATTACGCGATACAACCAGTTCTCTAATTTTGTGACAAAATTATATTAGAGTTTTACAAGCGGACTTTCTTTTCTTTTAACACAATTTTCACATTTCGACGTGGATGAGAGTATAGAAGAATGTCAATTTTTCTCTACAAACAAAGAGAATAATTTAGTGGCGAATATCAATTTCGATGAATATTATTATCTAGTATCTGAATTTTATAGTTAACATCTGCTTGATTAATCTGATTCGCGATACAATAATTTTAATAACGAATAATTAATGTGAATTAGCGAATTATAAATATATAGAAACAAATTAAATACTTGGAGACTATTTCTCTTATGCACTAATTGCTAATCTATTTTAGATAGATAAATGATGTTCTGCGTTTTTCATTCGTTTTCTTGCTCAAATAAGGATTTATGAAATATCTGAAAGATCTGAAATCTTGAAAGATCTGAAAGATCTGAAATCTTATGATATATCTTCTTTCAAAAGGAGTTGCTGTTTAAAAAACATTTTTTATTTTAACAGTTTGTAATGAAAATTTCATTAGAATCTCTAAATTTCCAAAATCCCAGTTTTCAACAAGAAAAATTTGGATCTCACAAATTTCGGATGTATAGCTGTACGTATAGCTGCTTCTAACTTTTCACAATCCACTGCTAATAACTAGTATCATAGCAATTTCAAATTTCTTATGTCATACTTCACTGAACGATATACAAAAGATGTAAAGCGCAAAGAGGGAGAATAGCTACTTTGAGAACAGCTGCGAAAGAAGTGTGAAGACTTGGCCTCCTCATTCGGATAGTGACAATTTATTCGATCGTGCAAATTACGGGCGTCAGAGGAATTAGGATGGCCGTCATTTCAAGAGATGAGACAGTGCATTCACCTGGTGTGTCGTTCGCAAGGATCGTCGTAGCCAGCGGAGAACTTTGCCCCGCGCCCGTTGCAGAAACGACTTCCCGGAGGAACCGGCGGTGGCCTCGGGCATGGCATCCCGGGCCGAGTGACAACCCGGCCGGTCGGCGCTCCGAGCTGGAGGAATCCAAACTGAGGGTGGAGGGTGATGCTCGCCGGAGCGGGAAGAGAGAAAGAAGAGAAAGCTAGGGTGGGGAACGGGCAATGGTCCGTGGAAGGGGTGGATCGATATCAACCCCATACGCTCAATCGAGGAGCAACCGCTTCATTCTTCTTTTTCCTTCCCCCTTTCCTCATCATTCGATTTATCAGAATTTCAATTCAGGATTTTCAATTTCCCTTCGTGTAAACCAATTTCCTAACCAATAGTCATTTAACTTTGAGCGTGCCACTTCTGACGAATTAACTCACTGATGTACGAAAGATTGTGATTTCTTTTTACGAAAAAATTTTTATAAATGTCTCACATTAAATCTTTTCAAGAGAAAGAAAAAATATTTTTGTATTTTTTACTATATACCCGCGACACTTTGCTAGTTACATCATCAAGTTCATTAATTTATAATTTGATCAATTGGACGAAAAACGAGCTAGAGAATTGCAGCAAACGAAACAGCAGCTGGTACATTTTGATACAACCAAGAGTTATCCTCTGTACGATCTAATCTTCCGTAAAGAAGATGAGTATATTCGTATTTTATCGGTGCATTTTGAATCGAATGTGTAGAAAGACTGTGCGAGTGATTGACGAAGGCTAGCAAGCGCAACAAGTGTCAATCGACCGTGAAATCTGGAATAGAAGGGCTTGAATAAAACGGAACTCGAGAACGAAAGAAAGAGAAAATTCATGGTAAAGAAGACGGAAAGAGACTCGTCGCGGATGAAAAAACTTAGCTGATGATGCTGAATACTAGGTGGTAAGTGGTACAATTGACAAAGAAGACGAAAATCAAATCCGAGGCAATTTCGACTAGGCCTAGGTCATAAAAATATCATCGATTATTGTTAGCAAAGAAGCACGCGAGAAAGAGAAGAAAGCATGATATCCATGATCTCTCTCATCTCCTGATCATCGCGACTTTGTGGGATGAATCGTCGAATATTTCACGATCACTATCATCTACTAGCACTATCTTGTGCGGCTGATACGATCGCACCAGAAAGAGCTGGAATTGGAGGCGAGTAAGAGTAAGCTTTCCATCGATCGCATCTTCTCATTTCCTCGCTTGACGTGCGCTTGCCGCTTCCTGCTCCAACTGACCTTGAACCTGAACACCTCCCCAGGTTTATTCCCCGGTCACACTAGCGGCGACCTTTCCTCCCGAATGCCGACAGGGGAAATCGATGAAGTACTTAGTATTTGATAAACGAGAAGCTTAATTTTCTACCAGTAATCGTTTCGATTATTTTTGCAACTACTAAGGTCGATATACGATTAAATCCTAGGTATAACAAAATAAAAAAACATATTCTTTACGCATTTTTATGCAATGTTACATATGTTGTTTTCAAATAACGTTTTGAAAACATAAAAAAATTAAATACTCGAATGTTTCTTGGTTTCTGCGACAGGTTGTTAAACTAATTAATTTAATTTTCCTTCGAGATATTTTTATATATCAAGAGACACGAGTGGTGTCTCGATACCCAGTTCATGCGCAGCGAAGTTCGCGTAAAACGGGACGCCCGTGGCTCTCTTTACGCGAGACCCCGAGATGAACTCGGTCTGAACATTTTCATATTTCAGCAACGACTGCATCGATTAAGTTCTAACTATAAGTTCTAACGCTTATTCGATAGCTGAGTATCAAATTATATGAGAAAAATGTTTTTATCTTTTTTTGTGTTCTGACAAACTGATATCGCGACGCAACTTCAAATTGATTTAAATTGGTTTAATTAGTTTAAATTTTAAGAAACATTCTGGTCGTCGCCGTCACTTTTTTTTTTCTGTCGCAAGAGGCGCTAATGAACGTCTCTGTATGACAGCTGCGTCTTGCAGCGCTCATTTTTTTGATATGTCTTTGACAGATGTGAAATTGTATGTATTAATAAAATAATAAGTAAAATTATATAAAAAGTTTATTTATAAATATTTTTAAAAGTAATATTTACATTATTAATGTTATAAGATAAACAGTAAGAGTATAATGCAATATAATGCAATAAGTGTGTACATACGTGTTTTAATGCGACCCGGGCGCGCCAAGTTTATTAAATTAGAAATTGGCACCAGTTCTTGATATCACATCTTTTGTACCAATATAAAAATTTATTATTAAAAAGACTTTTATAGATAGAAATTTTTATATAAAATTCTTTCTTTTACATAAATAAGAAAAGGGGTACGTAAACCTGGCATTATTTTTTACCTTTTTTAAATATATCTTTTTCAAAACATTTATAGCGGTATAGAAGTAATGATTCGTTGATTGACTGGAAAGACATCCATCGAAAATCACGCACGTAGCTATTGTTAATACACATATACATTTTAACATGTATCAAAGTAACTTTTAATTGATCATCATTAAAGTTGAATGAAGTTTTATCATATTAAATCGTGCATTGAAGGGTATGCGATCGGCTTTCTTCAACTTCAAGGCGCACGCGATTTCGCAGCCTTCCGCATCCGTGAACATGTCCGAGGCCGGCGCGGCCAACCCTGCACGGCAAGTTAAATGAACATCCGACCTTGAACTTGACTGAGAAACGAAGGGCGATTGACCGCAAGGGAATACTTGAGAGATAGAGATGAAGGAAAAATACGAATTTTAAATCCCATTCATGAATTTTTTCTTTCCGAACCAATCTTTCCGAATTTATCGTTGTGCTATTCTCGCTCTAAAGCGGCGCTCTAAATTGCAACACGTCGCGAAAA